AAAAAATACCCTAATTCTATGGAAATCCAGGCTACTTGGATCGCTCTCTTCAAACAAATTTCTCAAAGTTACCTCCCTAACTCCTTGGTTCCTTCAATATCGTATTAGGTAGAAGTGACTGTATAACCATTTGAATAATATTTCCACTAAGCCCTCTAGATGTTTGTTCAAGACTTGTAATTCACCGGAACTTTTATGAAGATCGTTATCTGTTCAGGAATCCAAATAAAATCTGTCAGGTATTTTACATAATACCTATCAATAATAAATTATTGCAGACTGAAGTTTTCCAATACTTGAATTATAATCATATAAATAATCTTAAAGGGCGAACACAAAATTATTGCGACACCGAAAATGTCATGCCAATTTTCTTATAATGTTTAGAATCAAACCAAAATTTTAGGGTAGTTTTATACATATATTTACTTCAAAAGTCAAAAGAAAAGTTAATCGATGGAGCCTTGAGTGTAAAATTGAACGCATTTTCGCTTGATGCCCTCCATCAAAGTCTTTACAGTGTCATCCGGTACCAGTTTCTCATTTTTTTTTCCATTTTCTTAACATGTCCTTCTCGTCTTTGACTGTCTTCTTGCTCTTCCGAAGTTCCCGCTTCATTATTGCCCAGTACTGCTCCACCGGGCGCAGCTCCGGACAGTTTGGCGGATTCATGTCCTTTGGATTAAAATGGACAGAATTGGCCTCATACCACTCCAGGACACTTTAAGAATAGTGGCATGATGCCAAATTTGGCCAAAATAGCGGAGCTTCGTCGTGCTGCTGCAAGAACGGCAAAAGGCGCTTCTCGAGGCACTCAGATTTGTAGATCTAGCAATTTACTGTGCCCTTTGTCACGAAAGGCTCACTCCTCAGTCCGCAAGAGCAGATGGCCTGCCAAATGAGATATTTTTAGGCGAAATTCGACATTTTCTTCTTCTTAAATTTGTCGTCCACATCGAACTTTCTCTTGCCGGTGAAAAACTCCAACCCCGGAATTAAAAAATATAAAATCGGCTTTTATATACGTTTCGTCGTCCATCCATCACACAGCAGCCATATTGTGTCAGCATCTTCTCGTAGAGCTTCCGTGCCTGAGTTTTAGCCGTCGATTGTTGCCGCTCATCGCGGTTTGGGAAGTTCTGTACCTTGTATGTATGTAGTCCAGCTCTCTTCTTTGCATTCTGGACCTAGCTCTGCGACATGCCGATCTTTTTAGCCAAATCACGGCTTGAGACGTTGGGATTTGCTTTAATCATCCGCTTCACCTTTCCCTCCGTCTTTTTGTTCTCCGGTCCCGGTTTTCTTCCAGCTCCTTTGCCGTGGTCCAACGTCAACCGCTCCTGGAACCGCTTCAACACTCTGGAGACGGTTGAATGGTGAATATTCAACATTTTTCCCAACTGCCGGTGCGACAGGTCAGGAAATTCCAGGTGTTTGGAAAGAATTTGTTCTCTCAACTCGCTTTGGTTCACCTCTATTTTCGTTGAATCGAAAAAAACGACTTCGAGTTTGACAGCATGTACACAATACACATCAATGAGAAAGTGTGCAAAATTTGGTTGATTTTTACCCAATGGTAAAAAAGTTATGCCCTGTTGAATGTGTCGCAATAATTTCGTGTTCGCCCTTTATAATCAATTCAAATGGTATTTATTAGATATTCACTCATAATGTCATGTTGACCAGTCATTTTCAAAAGATTATCAGGTGATCAAAGATTACCGTGAAGTCCTATGGTTGTTTTCTTAGGACTTCAGGTTGATCAAGTAATATTCTGAAGATCTACATCTGCCCAGTAATTTTAATCTCAGCTGTTATAAATCCTCTCATAATATCATGTTGCTTAGAAATTATTTCAAAAATCTTTAGGAGCTTAAAAATCTCAGTAAAATCCTCAGGATGATTGTAGAATATTTCAGGACCATCTGCTATTTTCCCCTTGCTATGAACAAGTTCAGCATCCACTTTTACTAAATAATATTTTGCTCGAAATTTACGGCGTCCATAGCTGCACTAACCGATACTGCCTAGAATATGAGGCTTTTCCTCCCTCATGAAGAGGCCTGTACACGCCAATCAAAATTTTTCGTTGGATCCATGAAAATGAGGGTGGGTCATGTTGGCGGATCACAACCCCTTGCTGCCCACTGCTCTTTAAAGCTGTATTGAGGTCCCCAACATTTGCCAAATTTGAACTAATTTGGTTATGATTTGTGTTAGCGGGAGAATTTCAAATTTAGTATGAAGCGAAACAAAACTCTTCATTTGCTTGCCAAAAATTCAAAAATGGATCAAATTTTACCAAACCATGAACTTAGATTGGTAATTATTATGCAGAGCAACTTTGTTTAAGATCGCAGATCGATTCGACTTCGAGACAAAACGTTATTATAATTTTACTTTAAGTCAAGTGTTCCACGCATACCTACAGGCGTATATAGGGCTTGTAGGTACGTGCGGAGCACTTGGCCTAAAGTAAAATTATAATAACTTTTTGTCTCGATGTCGAATTGATTTACAGTTTTCGACAACGTTGTTCCGCTTAGTATACTTAATATAGGGGAAATGGATGTAATGTCGGCCTAAATGCTCCTAATTTGGGCCCATACATAGATTCAGCAATCGACTAAATTTTCAATAGCGATCAAAAATAGCCATTAGTACCGTACCAATGACGCGTTAATCTAGATAAAATTGATAAATTGCAGATTTTTAGCGATGGGCCTAATCCATTAGCCAACATTAGGGTCATTTCCCCTGTATCTGATGTTTGGTCTGAGCTACTTTTAAATTTCTGACAGGTAGGTATCTGAACAGCTTTGTTCTATTTCCCATACATACAGTAGAGCTCTCTCGCAAATCCAGATCTTAAACAAATTCGATCAAATTTTGCACAGCAGGGGGTTGATAAGTTGACCCGCCATAATGCTAATGGATCCACTCAACAATGTGGGTGGCTTCAAAGCATCAGATATGCGCATAGAGTTCTCATAGGTTCACTCAAAATTGTGGGTGACTTTAGCCATTGTTGAATAAAGCGAGATGAAAATTGGTCGCGAAACATAAGATTGAAAGTTGTTTTCCAGTTATTGTTAACAGGAAAAAGGAATAACATGATTTTAAAACGTTCAATTTGGGCAATTATTTTCATCATCTTTTATACTGTCCTTGATAAGCGGCAACGAAAACAAAAAATAGTCTCGATTATCCGGAGTGAAACTTTTTTTCTCAAGCCACCGGATAATAGAGTCCGACCTGTAATAGGTCTTAAACATTAAATTCCGTAAATAGAAAATAACAAGTGCCATACACAATGTTTGTTTTTGTAGTTCATTTTGTCGTTTCACCAGTTATCAAGCTAAAATGTTTTTTACAATATCAACTATACTATACCAAAGAACTCTACATCATTTAGTTTTCTAAAGAATTGATTATTTCAATAATCCAAAGGGTGTCCGTCTTCCCCCGCCGTCTCCTACTTATCAGTCTTTGGAGCTAATGCTCAATGCCAGCGCTGCCAAACCTACGGCTTGTGGGCCGGACGTGGTCTCTGGATCTCAGAAATGATTTCTAGCCTAATTTAATTCATTATTATGAATTTTACCCCACAATGAATGATAATTAAACAAAATGCAGCTTTAAACATGTTCATCACATAGATACAGCCATTTAAGAAAAGTTTAAGTTTTTGAATGGTTGGGTAGTCCTGCTGGTTATTTGCAACGAAAGTATTGAGTGAAGCATTTTGATATCTTCTAGAATGTTTGTTCATTTTTGAGTACTTAATTTGAGAAGTGACTATTTTGGCTTAAGGGGGATATATACTCAGATAAAAATAATTTTTTTTGATGTTTGGTCAAAATTGATGAAAATTTATGGAAACAATGCACATGGAGCCAGTTTAAGAAACTTTGTCGAAAACAAACATTATCTATCTACCAAGTGGACGAAACTATAGAGCAATAATGGAGTGCAAAACCCCTTAAAATGCGTTTCTTTCCCATACATTTTTAGATTGAATTTTTATTTTTTTAATTTTTTTTACAAAGTTGTAAGTGCTTTGAAAGTGCAAATTTTTACAGTGCAAAGTTAATCGATATCGCTTCGTTTTAAGGATTTACGTACGTATCACAATTTTTTTTAACATTATCTGTAATGTTTGGTTACGGTTTTGCTGTGTTCATGACCATTTTTCCAAGTACCGCCTGTTCCCTACTACCTCTTTCAATTCGTATGAGGTCTCCAATATCGGTATAAAATTTGAACGAATTTGGTTCCAATCTCGATTTGCGGGAGAATTTTAAATGTTGTATGGGAAACGAATCAATCCTATTCATTTGCTTTCCAAAAATCTCAATATTGCTCAAATTTCACTCGAACTCGAAGATTGAGAATTCTATACAAAACAACTTTGTCAAAGACTGCGCTCGCAAAAGCCTACGACTAAACAGCTGCCATGTTGAACGAGCATTTACACCTACCTATACGTGCAACGTAGGATTCTACAGACATGACTCATCGAGCATTATTGTCGATATCATGTGATTCTGCCCACTCAGTCTCTGCTACCTATCTGTCTTTAACTGCCCCGTTCGGTATCATTAAACAAAAAAAAAAACTATTAGGCATAGAGCAGAAAACAACAACCGACTGGATAGCTTGAATCAAGCGTTAGCATTTTGTGTGTCACCGCGATCACGATCAATCGCGAAATCATGCATCGTATCAACATCAAACGGCACACATTCCTCGCGACCGAGTGGTTCAGACACAGCTTCGAGTCACGTTCGGACCGCGTTCAACCGTAGACGTACACGCTTCTGTGCTGCTGCTGCTGTGTAATTATCGTCCGTATCCAACCGCGGTTCATTCGCTCAAGTTTTTCTATATTGTACCGATTTCATCACACAACCCAATGCAGCATAACGACACCTTGACCCATTCGGGCGAATTAATTCGATCAAGCTTAATAAAGCGTCCCCCGTTTTCTTTCCTTCCAGATCCAAGACAAACTCGAAGAGGTAGCACCACCGTTGGTACCGATCCGGCTGAACAACGTCCCTCTGCTGCGAGAATTCGTCGATCGGTGCAGTCTGTCACGGAATCCGCATGCCCGTGAACTAGCGCGAATATTTCGCTATCCGCACTTCCGGGCCTTGATCGAGGCGCACGACGAGGTTGGCGAAGGCGTCGTAGAACGGTTGAAAAATCCACCCAGTCCTTCCGCGAGCGGCGCAGCATCGCCGACTTCACCCGGTGGTAGTTCGGAACTAGACGGCGGCGGAGGAGGAGGCGGAGGAGGAGGAGGTTCTTCACTGGCTACGGCAGCAACGGTAACGACGGCCGCCAGGGGAATGCCCGGGGAAACGATCAAGATGGTGGGGATTCGGAGGAATCCGAACGAACCGCTGGGGCTGACGGTGGAAGTCGACGAGCACGATCAGCTGGTGGTGGCCCGTATCATTGCCGGTGGAATGATCGATCGGCAGGGGCTGCTCCATCCCGGCGATGTGATACTGGAAGTGAACGGCGTGCAGGTGAACACACCGGAAGAGCTACAGACTGAAATTTCCCGGGCCAAGGAGTCCGTCACGCTGAAGATCGGTCCCAGCCTGGAGGAGGAGATGAAATCCGCTCGGATCATGATGGGTGGTGGACAGGTAAAGAAAAATATAGAGACGGGCAAGAAGCTGACGGTAAGTTGAGTGTTTTGTTCTTTATTAACTACTAGAGATTTTTGTTTACGTGTAGCTTTAGTTTTTGGCCTTAGAGTGCTTGTTAGTGTTTAGGAGTTTTGTTAGTTGCGCGAAATATTTTGACGGGTTTACGTTTTTTTTTCTTCTTTTGTTGAAGTGTGATTTTAGTTTTGAAGAGTTATGTCTGCTTTGGAAAGATTGAATTTTTTTTCAAAATTGTTTGGCATTATTTATGATTTGCTGTAATTGAGCTTAAATTTTGCAACTACTGGAATCGATGGAAGTTTATGGAAATCCGTTAATGAGGTTACAGTTGTGTTTTAATGAGTCTATAAATCGCATCCGGAAAATGAGGGAAATGTGTATGTTTTAGTTATGGCTGTTCCGGTCATTCTGAAGTAAAGAGGGTCTAGTATAAGAAAAGAGCGGGTTGGCTGGTTTGACGCCAAAGCGCCTATCTTGATTGTATCTCGATTTATGTCTCGTAAACTTGATTTTTCCAGAAAAAAAATCTATAAATTATGTTTTCTATCTACTATAACAATTTCTGGGTCTGTAGCTGACCCACACAATTGTGTAGGTCCGTCCCCAATAGAGCCATTTTTCTACTCATTTGGGAATGGACCTACACAATTGTTTGTTGAAACCGCGCTATAGAAATCGGCTCTAACGAATTCACGTATGAGAGCTAATTGGGGCCCATCTCTGATTTTTGTTTAGTTTGACGAGATAACATCCTGTTGTCTTTGTGGTAGTTGTGGAGCAGATAGATGGCCACCCTTTGGAGAAAGCATGCTTCCAGGCTTCGGACTTGATTCCAAAAATGGACACTGAGGGGGAGGGGTTAACTAACCGGAAACTTTGCAACAACTGTTGCAACTAATGAAAGTTTCATAAGAATGTCTTCGGACTTATTACTAAAACATGGACACTGGAGGGGTCATGGGATGACCAGCCAAAAGATCCAGAAGATCCAGAACAACCGTAAAAGAGGGCAATTATGGTAAATGATCCTAAAGCGTCGCGGTTTTTTCGATACGACTTATGGGAGACTCATTAGAATAAATTTGGATTTGTGACAGGAAAATGAACTCTGAGGACTACGGGGTGACCTTTCTGATGATTTGGTACGGCCTTGATAGTGACCAATTAATATTACTGATCGTAGAGCTTCGCGATTTTTTCCGTAAGCATTTATAGAAGTCTCATTAGAATGACTTCGGATGACAAATGGACGCTGGAGGGCCACGGGTTGACCTTCCGAAAGATCCGGAGCAACCGTGAACGCGGTCAATGCATGTAACTAGTCCTAGAGCACTGTGATTTCGTTCCAAAGTACTTTTGGATGATGTCTTACTAGAATTAATTTAGGCATGACCGGAAAAGTGAACCCTGCGGGTGCTCATCCGGAACAAGCGTAAAGGATATCATTTAATGAAACTGTTTCTAGAGGTCAGTGGAATTTTTATCGAAAAGACTTAAAGAAGTCTGATAAGAATAAATTTTGACTAGTGACTGTAAAATGGACCCTGAGGCTACGGGATGATTCGGAATATCCGCTAAAGTGGTCAATTCATGAAAATGGTTCCAGAGCTCTGCGGTCACTTCTAGAAGGCTTAATAGCCATGAGTTGATCAACCTTAAAAGTGGTCATTTCATGAAACTAGTCATAGAGCATCGCGATTTTTTTTCGATACCGCTAACAAAAGTCTTATTTGAATGAGTTCATACTTGTGACCAGGATATTATTTATTTGTGCTGATTCATTTGACATATCAGGGGTTCTGGAATTCGATTTCATAGGTTCAAAAATATGGTAATGTTTGTAAGGTATAACCATATCATGTGGTGGTTTCAATGTCGGAAAAAAGGCAAGATATGCCTTTTGAAAACAGTTTGAGATTATTCCTGTGACACATGGTCACATTGATATTGGTTCCATAACAAACCCAAGTGAATATAACAATGTCAATAAGACACTGGACACTATTGGCACAGTCCGGAATCTGATCCAGGTTCTCTGGTAGTCATTGTGGACCATTGGTCCTGGCTAGAATATTAAAGATTGTGTTATCACATTCACCCACGTGAATGTTACAATGCCTATAAAACATTATTTTTACGATTCTTCGAATATTTTGCCAATATTCTGGTTACTTGTGGCCACTAGCCTATCCCGGATGATCCTGATTCCGGTTTCACTGGCCACAATCAAGACAAATTTATGAGTTTGAAACGATTCACAGTCCGTTGAATGTAGGGGGTAGCGGGACAAAAACAAAAAGATGAAGTTATCGTAATTTTACCCCATCGGTGTTATGGAAAAAGCTTCTCTAGAGGTTCAGCGCTACAATTTGCATGAATGACACATGTGCAGTAAGTGATCGCATAAATGTCTGATATGTCAAAGTTCATTTTATTAATTCAAAATAATGTTTGTGATATCAAAATTCTTGAAATAATGTTTGATATTTGGGACTATCAATTCGTTTTCAGCTGGCTACTACTCTTAAAATCGTACCATGAACGCGCACTTGTAACAGGATCAGAAAAAAAAATTAGGCGCAGTGTTACCATCATTAGAAGTACCGTATACTGGCTTAGTCTTATCAACAATTAATCCCATTTGAACTTTAAACTGTTGCTGAATCCTTTTTTACTTTCTTCGTGGCTCTTCTTATTTGCTTGTCCACGAACCTGCCAGATTTTAAACGTCATCCTAAAAAAATCGTTAGTAAACAAATCTTTGTGAGGAAATAAATGTCACGTAACTATATGCGATATGCAGCAGGCACGCAAACAACTTAATCCAACAATGCAGAACGGGTAATCCAAATCTAAAATTGTTTGTATTCTCAGTTTTTTCTTGGACTTTCGTATGGTTCATATCTTTTAGAGTTGCGCCAACAATGTAAGACTTAGCTGCTGCTTTTTCGTGTGACAGCGTACTGCAAGCTTTTCCATTCAGCATAGTAAAAAGAAATTCATAGCAAACGTGAAGATTGGTATCACCTACACATGTCTCATATGGAACTAATTTACTGATACAAGACTCCACTGTTGCTTGCTCATTTAAAATTTAAGGTCTGCAAAAATCCGTAGAGGCTGGTCGGGGGTTGTGTCACAAAGTATCTTCTGTTTCTGTATCAATGAGTTTGAGAGGAACCATAGCAATTACGAATAAGAATTCGTCGATTGCATTTGAATCCGAATTTTTTATTTATAAATGCTGTGACCAGAACTACCATCCATTCCCCACTTACAAACCAATCTTACTTTTGTGGGGTGAGTTATCTGTATTACTTTAGTGATGCCATTAACTGTTAGGTTGAGCAAATCTTAAAGATCTACCATAGCAGCTGTCTCTGTAACCGAAACATACTTGGAAAACAATCTTTATGATTGGAGTTCACAGCATCTCGAAGCACAATGTACTTCCACTCTGACAGATCCAGATCAAAACGTGCTCAGGTGTGTCAACCGATAAGCATGACGCCAAATAGCGGAAAAAACATGGCGTTCTTTTGCTTTCATCACATGTGACCCATTTTTTAAAAATCTGCCGATTTAAAAGCAATTGGCGTTGTTCTACAAAAGGTTAAACATTTGGTAGAGTTGGAAAAGTTTGCAGCTAAATCATACATGGTCTTGTAAAGGACAATTTTACCAACAATTCTATGAAAAGTTTGGGGTGGAACTCTTTTTGAATCGTTAATCACAGTTTGAATAGTGTTTTAATCAAATGTTTAGATCAAATTCTACTCAAGCTATTCGACCAAAATAAATCCAATGGGTAATTGTAGCACACTCTACTGAACATGACTATTATCGAAGACTACAAATCAAGAAGACTGGCAACTCTGCCATCAATCAGGAGGCAGTAACGGCAACGCCTCTTCTGAGCAAAAGTGGAACGAGTTTATGATGGTGTGTGTTAATTAACTAGTGCATTCACACACATAGGTAGAAATAAATAGCTGTCAATTATTGGTTTTGTTATGATTGTCGTAAAAAGTGAAACGTTTGCTTTATGCTGACAATGAGTAAAATTCCAGCTGAAATTGAACAGATTTGTTTTGAAAATAAAAACTATGGCAATGATGACATTCACAATGGCATCATTCCTCGTTCTTTGGTTTGCTATCTCAGAATTATCTTCCACTTTTCCTAAGCCCTTTAGTGATGCATTTATGGGCATTCGTATGGTGCATTAGTAAAATGCATGCCCGTTCCGCACGGCTTTGACACCTGGCCACAGCGGGGGGATTTAAGTTGTGACGCTCGGCAACTTGGCACAGTACTCGCTGACCATTTGATTGTCGCTGGCCAATCCGACACTGTTGTAATCATTCTCTGGAAGGGGTCGGTCGATTCCAAGAATTGTTAGAGCATACAGAGGGTCACTATCCGGTGGTTTCATGTCCTGACAACATCTAAAATGGAAATATATTCTTTATCAATACGTACCGTTTGGAATTACAGTCCTTCAACCTTTCATATTTATTTTCTCCGACATTAGATCCTGCTACGCCTTCCGTGGGATCGTGATGTAGGTACCGGATCTTTCTTCTTTTTGAATCCTCGAATTTTCACCAGCTTCTGAATGACGGTAGTTCACTCAATAGTGATGGAAGCTTCCAATTCCTTGTAATTGATTGCTTCCAACAGGCAAAATAAACAATATTTCGGATACTTGTTCACAATTAAAAGTGACTTTTCAATAGGTATCGATCCGAGTTTCAATCCTTTACTTGATCCACCATGACAAGTTTTTCGGTTTGGAGTTGGAAAACTACCGGTTTGCTGGGATTATGATTATAATTGCAGTGAAATTTTGTAGAGAAAAACAAAAAACAATAACGAATACAGTGTTATGATTATTCGTTTCGGTGACATTAGGTCTCACACACAGTCACTGTTTATGAGCAGTCTCACTAACACTTGTGCTTCAAAGTTCCACCTTTGATTGACAGAGGCGCTGTTATCAGTGACGTTTGACATTTGTATGGGAGTAAATTGATTTTATGCAGTAGAAAAATTTTCCGAGTATGTTAAAAAACAGTGAAATTTCTAGACGATATTCGAGTTTATTTTCCTCTCTGAACACTGACAGTTCACATGGCTGTAATAGTAGTTGTGGTGCTTTTTCAAGCTTATCAATACTTGCTTACATTGCAGGGGCATCTATAAACGCTTCTTAGTAGTTAGTTTACGCAAACAAAACATAGTGAAAGTCGATTTTTGTCTATGGGCCAACCTGTGCGATTTTTCGAATATTTTGCCGCTATTATGGTTACTCGCGGCGACTGACGTATCCCGGATGTTCAGGATAGCGATTCCGTTAGCCCCAACCCATGGTCGCAATGTAGGGCAGATTACATTGAATGTTTTAGACACAGAAAGCCGTTAAACCAAACAATTAGAAAATAACTTACGGGGTAAGGATGAAGAAAATTCCAGGGGAAAGTTGGAAGAATTGGGAAGGTTACATAATCTTAAGAAAGTTAAAAAAAAAATAACATTCTGATGGACTTCTTTGGTCACATTTATCGATTCCCATGAATTACCGGAATGAGCCATCAGCTGTTTCTTGATTCCTGGGTAGCCAAAAAATCGGCGAGGAAATGGAAATACTGGTTGAAGGAGTATCAAGCATGAGTAATTTTTAAAGATGAATAAATTTTGATCATTTTGAGGGCTAACAAATTTTTACTCAAAATTATCTACCGATTCCCAGGAATGACGAGAATCCCATCAGCTGTTTTTCAAATTCTGGGTAGCCAAAAACGACGAGGAAATGGAAATGCTAGTGGAAAGAGAGTAAAGCATTGATAATTTTTAATGAAGAACAAATTGTTGAGCCTTTGAAAGACTCAAAATATTTGAAATATTCAAAAAGATAAAATTCTCTCACAATAGTTTTCTCTGAAATTTGAGCACGGGCAGGTAATAATCATGTGATTAATAAAAAATCGGTATAAATTGGTATAAAATCACAAAAATCGATATTTTGAATCAGGGCTGGCAAAATGCCATTTTCATTGAAAGATCTCACGCGATATTTACAGCGATACTTCTGTCACTATCATCCAATGAGAAAACGATGATAGAGATTTTCTTCAAAATTTCATCGAATCTTTTGTCATGACAGAACGTGACAGTGCACAGTGGTTAAGAATGCAGATTTAGGTGGAATAATATGTTTTGAGCCTGAAATTGAAGCTTTAGACTAAAAGTCTCTTCTACAAAGTTGTTCCTTATAGTTATGCCCTCATTTTTATGACAATGAATTCTAGGGTGGTTCCCAATATCATGAAAATAAAAAATCTAACTTATTTGTTTGAATAAATTAAGGTTTACATTCTTATAATTTGTTATAGCTGAGCTAATTTCAAGCAACTTTGTAGAAAACAATTTTTTTGTATCTTTTAAATTGGCCGATTTAGAGCAAATAAGTTAGATTTTTGATTTTAATGATAATAGGAACCACCTTAGAATTCATTGTCATAAAAATGAGGGCATAACTATAAGGAACAACTTTGTAGAAGAGACTTTTAGTCTAAAGTTTCAATTTCAGGCTCAAAACATATCATTCCACCTAAATCTGCATTCTGGACCACTGTGCAGTGTTGTGGTCATCGTAATTACTAGCTGATTTATTGCTATTAAAGTTACTTGTACCGACGAAATATTAAGAATATATTTACTCTGTCGATTACATATGGTTGCTGGCTTAAGTTGATCTAAAGCAGTTAGAAATTTTGATGTCAAAACCGCATAAAAATTATTCTCATGAGTGCTTGATCATTGGAAAATGACAAGAAAGCAAATGATAGGTAGTTTCGTCTAATGATAGTGAGACAACCTGTTTTCTCATTGTTGTCATTGTCTGTCCGATGCTTTTATTATTTTGCTTGATTGAATGATCGATTGCGAGAAATCGACGATGGAATCAAAAATGGTAGTTACGTCAAATAGAGGTATACCTGTAATATATATATATATATATATGTAAAGAAAATAAATCCAAATAAAGAAATAGTTCTTCCTAATGAAGATAGAATATTTCAAGCTAAATAACTATCTAAAGGGTGATATGGTCAAAATTTGGTCAATATCAACTTGACGTATTTCTTTCAATTTTGCATTTAAAAAACCTGAACACCCCTCATTTTGAAGGGGTGTGTGTGTAGAATGTTGCTCCTATTTTGATTTTGGAATTCACTCTTCAGTTGTCAAAATGCCGTCCAAGCAAGAAGAGCAGCGTATCAAAATTTTGCTCGCGCATCGCGAAAATCCGAGCTACTCGCACGCAAAGTTGGCAAAATCGCTAAAAGTTGCCAAATCAACCGTTACAAATGTAATTAAAGTGTTTGGGGAACGTTTGTCGACAGCCAGGAAGTCTGGATCGGGGGGAAATCGAAAACCGAAAGCCGCTGAGACGACAAAGAGAGTTGCCGGTAGTTTCAAGCGAAACCCTAACCTCTCTCTCCGAGATGCCGCAAATAAGCTGGGTGTATCGTCTACAACCGTGCATCGAGCCAAAAAACGAGCCGGACTATCGACTTACAAGAAGGTAGTGACTCCAAATCGCGATGATAAACAAAATACGACGGCCAAAGCGCGATCCCGGAGGCTGTACACGACGATGCTGACGAAGTTTGACTGCGTGGTAATGGACGACGAAACCTACGTCAAAGCCGACTACAAGCAGCTTCCGGGACAGGAGTTTTATACGGCAAAAGGAAGGGGAAAGGTAGCAGATGTTTTCAAGCACATGAAACTGTCAAAGTTCGCAAAGAAATATCTGGTTTGGCAAGCCATCTGTACCTGTGGCTTGAAAAGCAGCATTTTCATAGCTTCCGGGACTGTCAACCAAGAAATTTACGTGAAAGAGTGTTTGAATAAACGTTTGCTGCCTTTCCTGAAGAAACACGGTTGTTCCGTACTGTTTTGGCCGGATTTGGCATCTTGCCATTACGGTAAAAAGGCCATGGAGTGGTACGCCGCCAACAACGTGCAGGTGGTTCCCAAGGACAAGAACCCTCCCAACACGCCAGAGCTCCGCCCAATTGAGAAATACTGGGCTATTGTCAAGCGGAACCTAAAGAAGACCAAAAAAAACTGCTAAGGGCGAGCAGCAGTTCAAGGCAAACTGGCTTTCTGCGGCGAAGAAGGTGGACAAGGTGGCTGTACAAAATCTGATGGCAGGGGTCAAGCATAAGGCCCGGCAATTCGGATTTGGAAAAGCGGAAGCCTAACTGAATATTTTTCCTGAATTTTATACTAATTGAACTTGAAAAAGAAATTTAATTTGATTTTTTAAATAAACGATTTCACCGATTTACACGCGTTTTCCCTTGACCAAATTTTGACCGTATCACCCTTTAGAAAATCAGAATATCGTCGAGGTATTCCAGCTAATCGTAAGAAATGCTGAGGAAAAAATATTAAATTTACTCCAATAAATATTATAACAAATTCTGCCTTTATTACTAATCCTGCTAATAAAAGATATCAATGCATAAATCCTGCAAATAGCAAAAAAATAGCAACTAACAGTTCCATCCCCATGTCCTGGGGGATTCCATTTAACATACTATTATGCGAATAGTGGCAGTAAATATAACGATGATCAATTTGTTTGTTCCTATCTAGCAAAAGTAACAACAAGAAAATTAATTGAATGGTGCGGCGAATTCGCATTTAATTTGAAAAATCAACAATTTTTGTTCAAATTCCACGTTTTGCAAAATATGAAAGATGAAATGTTCGATATTTTCTGACTCACATAAACTGCTGCATGTCGGTTCCATAGTCGTTTTTGTCAAAACTAAGTTTTTCAATACAAATGTTAGCTAATTACCCATATTTTGAACTTGTTCTGACAATGTTTGGAAAGACAGTCAAATGATTTTGGCTATGGGACAGACAGCGGCAGTAAATGGCATTGCCAATTCGTTTTTACGGTTATCTTCTATGGAACTTCGATCAACCCAAATTTTCTTAAACATCGCCTTCCTTCCAGTAGCTGTACTTTTGAAAGAATTTCTGTTGTTTTCCCTTGAAATTTGCTTTTCGTTAGCATTAAGCTTTGTTTGCGCTTTTCGTTCTGATTTTGAGTTTGTATTCAATCTACCAACCAGTCACGTGGATGCACTAGATGAAGAAATAATAAAAAAACGGATCTAAATCACCTTTACGAAAAGAGCAATGTCTTTGAGAAATGGTTTTGTAAATGACACCCAAATAGCAAGCACATATGATACACGTGTGCTGCCCTACCAAAGTATGAAAACCACTAGCTCTTCATAGGCTAAAAGTGCACTTCTTCAATGTTTCACTGTATGTATGTAAGTTTTAACGGCTTAGGGTCTAGATCAGCTAGTTTGTGTCATAGAAGCAATCGACGAAATTATTTGCTCTTGAGATTCCGATTTTCCAGAACAGTTGTAAATATTCTTTAGCAAATAATTTCAAGAATGCGATCTATACATTTTAGAGTCCTGTTAGGGTAGTTGGAATATGTAAACAAAAATACCTAAATCCTGAGTAGCATGACTAAGGAAATTCCTTCGCCAAAAACTTCCAGTGCTACATGCGTGCCTTGTTCGATTACGACCCGGTGGAGGACAATCTGCTGCCGTGTCAGGAGATCGGCTTAGCATTCCAGCGGAGTGACATCCTGCAGATCATCAACGTGAAAGATCCCAACTGGTGGCAGGCTCGGCACATCGGAGAGGACAATGCCATCGGATTGATTCCGTCGCAGGAGCTGGAGGAACGCCGCCAGGCGTATGTACCACCGGAGGCGGATTATGTTCACAAAATTAGCATATGCGGTACCAGGGTAAGAACTTTCGGAGGATATTCGACTTCTGTGCACACTTCTAATTCCGTCCGACTTTTCAGATTTCCAAGAAGAAACGCAAGACAATGTACAAAACCAAGCAGAACAATGATTTCGACAAGGCTGATTTGATGCTGTACGAAGAGGTTACCAAGATGCCCCCGTTCAAGCGGAAAACGTTGGTCCTGATCGGAGTGTCCGGTGTCGGGCGGCGAACGCTGAAGAATCGCTTGATACAGAGCGATCCGGACAAGTTTGGCTCGGTGTTGCCACGTGCGTTTGTGCAAAATGTCAATCAAGTTGAATGTTTGATCCATTTTTTTTCTGTCCCCAAATACAGACACAACTCGTCAACCGAGACCGCTGGAGGAAAGTGGCAAGGCCTATTGGTTCACCGATCGGGAAACCATGGAGCAGGAAATCAAGGAAAACAGCTTCCTAGAGTTTGGCGAGCACAATGGAAATCTGTACGGCACCCATTTGGATTCGGTTCGGGATATCATTCGGCAAGGTGTGGATGGTGAACTTTATGTTGATATTGTCGGATTGAATAATTTGGTGTAAATTACCAATTTTTTAGGAAAAATGTGCGTCCTGGATTGCTCTCCGACGGCGTTGAAAACCCTTCACAATAGTACCGAGTTCATGCCATATGTGATCTTCATCGCAGCGCCGGGAATGGAACAGCTGAAACAGCTGTACTCGGAGCGTAGATCGGCTAGTGGATCGGTGCGGAGTTTGGCGGTGAGTTATGGTTCGATCTTTCCGATGGAAAATGATTTGATGAAATGAATCTGCTTTGTCAATGTGTGTGGCCTTACGAGTTTTTGTCAACAGTAATCTGGCATGTTTGGGTGCATGAGTTTTATTCGACTCAATTTTTTAAGGCTCTAGCTCTTTCAATGTATCCCATTAGGCATATATAGGGTGCCTCAGAAATAACGTTATCTCGATGAACTCAAATTTCTGACCATCACGGATTGCATAATATTGGACTCCGGAAGCGTATTGTAGTCAAATTTGACGTATGTTTCATCGTCCATGATAACATTTTCCACACAGCAGGCTATCATATTGACCAATGCACGGAATGAACTCATGAAAAAATTTGACTTTAGCGGTGCCGTGTTTACTAAGGCTGTGAACCATTTGCCGAGTTAAATTTAACTCGTGGTTAAAAGTGACATTTCGAAAGTTATTTTCTATGTTCGAAAATCCCCATGCTGTCGATCGACCGGTTTTCGAGCCACGGTTGTCAAAATTTAACTTATTGTCTGTCAGAAATAACCATGCTCGGATAGCAGGGTTAATCGATAACTTTTCATCTGTCAAATTTTAACCAAAAGTTAAAATAATCCACCAAATGGTTCAGAGCCTAAAAATGAACACATGATGTAATGCTCGCGTAACTTTAGAAAAGGTCCTATCAACTTTTATTAACAACTTGTTAGGCCCTTTTCTCACTAGCCGAAGATCACCCACGCAATCCAAACCACTATCGGTAAAGCGAGAATTCACCCTACCCAATGGTGTTGTTGGTTTGCATGGGCGTACTTCGGTTCGCACGAAAAATGTCTAACAAGTTTTATGTACATAAGTTGATAGGCCATTTTTAAATGTTACGCGAGTATTATTCATGTGTTCATTTTTAGTAAACACGGCACCGCTCAAACGTCAAATTTGTTCATGCAGTTCATCCCGTGCATTGGTCAATTAGGTTCTGCAGCGTGACGTCACAAATGAACTCAGTGTTAATAGGCTGAACCTTTTTGACAGTTCAGTGGTACTGTTTACAAGCACTTAGTCGTTTTTTCGAAAAAAAAATTCTAAAATTTCCGAATTTTAACTTGAAAATTGTCGAGGAACAGCGCGGTGAAAGGATGTTGCTCGTGGACAATGCAGAAGTGTGGTTTACATCTCACTGCAGTCTGAAAAATTAAAGAGAAAATCTACCCAAGAAAAATACGACTAAGTCCACGTAAACAGTACCACTGAACTGTCATCAGATTGAGGTTAACCCCGACAGTGCAAAACCTAATTAGGTTCTGCAGCGTGACGTCACGAATGAACTCAGTTTAATCGGCTGAACCTTTTTGACAGTTCAGTGGTACTGTTTACAAGCACTTAGTCGTTTTTTCGAAAAAAAAATTCTAAAATTTCCGAATTTTAACTTGAAAATTGTCGAGGAACAGCGCATTGCAAGGATGTTGCTCGTGAACATTACAGAAATGTGGTTTACATCTCACTGCAGTCTGAAAAATTATCGAGAAAATCCACCCAAGAAAAAATCGGCTAAGTCCACGTAAACAGTACCACTAAACTGTCATCAGATTGAGGTTAACCCCGACGGTGCAAAACCTAATAGCTTCCGAGCCCTGGGACAGTGCTGCAAAATATCAATATCAATACCTACAAAATGCTGAATTTCATTAGCCACCTGATGTCAGTATCAGTTCACACAGATATAATATCAATATCATTCGCCTCAATGTCAGTGCGCAAATCACATTGACATCCTAAAGGGACCACTAAAATTAAGCCAATCGAGTACCGATCTTTATAAAACTCATCAGTAATATTAAAACAATGCAACGGTTATATAAAAAAATTGATTTATTGGGATAAAAGCTAGATTTTCAACTTTTCTCCAGTGATAATCTTATGGAGAGTAATATCACAAACGAAGTGACAGACGGAGCGGCTCGAAAACTTTGGTGACTAACCTGCTATTGCAATTTTTCAGTGTACCACATGGTAACACCACTACTACTGGATTGTACCACATGGCAACACTACTATTAGATTGAACTAGCATTTTCACCAAATGTACTAGAATGTTTTGGTTCTATCTCATTCACTCTACTCAAAACTGAAATGCATAAAAAAATGACAAAATGATACGCACTCTTTGCACACTGTCAAAGAATCATTGTACACAAAATCAACTTTGTTCAAATCAAAACAAAAAAACTAACCCATCTGGTGGATGATGGCACAAGCTTCCAAGAAAATTCTATTACAGTGAACCACATTATTTTAATGGATTTCTTCGCCAGTTAGTCGTCTGTAACTTCGTTTGTGGTAATATCAAAGCCGTACCGCCTGATATTATGCTTACTACGAATATCTGTGTCGGAAGTGAAATTCAGTGCTAGACCAATATCTTACGTTAATTGACATTGTTGACAGCACGCAGCACTGATTATATATGGCACAATTTGGGTAAACACAATATGTCTATTACGCATCACCCAGGCCATAACTAAATAAAACCATTTGATTGCTTCATGACTGCGAAGCTGTTTAACTCCCAGATGTTAGTCAGTAGGGGAAACGCTCCTATAGTTGCGGTACATTAGAAGCGTTAGGTTCCTATAGTTGTGTACGGAGTCTCCATGTACAACTATAGGAACCTAACGCTTCTAACGTACCGTAACTATAGGAGCGTTTACCCTAACATCTTTAGAAATGGCTATCATAATGTAAGCTTATTCAAAGTGCCTTGAAAATAACCCATGCATGCATGTTTACTAAATGTTGTCCTGTTTCTGTGTTCTCCTCCAATCCTCACCCGCCAACTGTAGTTCGACAGACAGAGCTCCATCCGGTTCAGTTCCCGCCGAGCCAAGACGCTCGAATCATTGGCATCACTGTACGAGGTAAGATTGTTTTCAGACAACCGGGCGCATGCGCCGGGAAACAAACGGTTCGTTTCCAATGCAAAACATATTTTAAATTGACCGTTGTTTTCTTCGCCATAGGATGACGATCTAATTTCTGCCGTCGAGGAAAGTGCCCTACTGCAGCGCAAGTACGACAAGTACCTGGACATGGTCATCATCAACGAGGACTTTGACGTCACATTCCGGGCCGTGACGGACGCACTGGAAGCCCTCAGCCACGAACACCAGTGGGTACCGGTCAATTGGATCTACTAACTGCCGCATGTATGACTGCAAGTGCAACAAAAGATGATGTGTTCAAATTTATTGGGAATTATCGCAAAAAATGAGCCATATACCGATATGCATTCAGGATCATCCTCGGATTATTAGGGATGAGTCACTTTAGTACCATAGCTTTGTGTCTAGAATCGTTCGAATTCCATATCCTCCAATTCAATCAATACGTTTGTCATTTAAGCATGAATAAAAGCATAAATTTACGTGAATTTAAGTCAAACACAGCATGTGGATGCCAATATCTGCTTCACAAAAACCCAATGCATCGTACTATCGATAATCGTTTAATCACACGTATTCGAAGAAAAGAAGAATCTCTAGCATTTAAGTCGTATTCGTAGGATTTATTGTGAAAGGGAAATTGTTTCGTCCATTATTTTTAGTTTTCTAGTGACCAGAAGTAGTACATATGTAAAACATAAAAATGGGGCAATAGCTCATGCGATTAGTAAGATTGAGTTTAAATTGTCAGTGTCTCGAATCACCTGGAAGAATTCCCCGAACGAGAAATTGATTAAATTTTACTCTAGATGAGTTTGTATTTAGTTAGGCAGCATGCTGAAACACCTCTGTTTTTATCAATCATATAAGTTAGCGTTAAGTTCGATGAGATGTTTAGAAAACTATTTGTTGTAGATTTTCAATGAATTTATGTAGAATAGTATGCGAAATAAATATCCGGTAACCTAATGAACGGTGAATCATTAATCTAGAGAAACATGCCACTTGACGAACAATTCTCTGAGTGCTGCTTTTAATTTTCGCTTAGCTATTGCTGGGTGTAGGGTGAATCTGAGAATTACGAGTTCGCGGTGGACTGTTAAGGATCATTCTTAAAGATCTTGTTTTGGATCCTATGAAGCTTTAGGTTGTGGCACTTAGCACAGCTCTCCCAGATTGGCATACCATACTCAATAGCCGGCAGAATGATCTGCTTGTGGACAGCAAGCTTGTTTTTGAGGGACAGAGTGGACTTTCTGTTTATCAGAGGTTAGAGCGACCTGATCAAGATGTTACACTTAGTGGATGTCTTGTCCACATAGGATCGGAATAGCAATTTGCTATCGAGGGTTAGACCAAGGTAGACTACTTCACTCGACCATTCAATGGGAGTGCTATCCATCTTGACGTTAGCAGGCGGAACAAGCCAAGGTGAATTCGAGTGTGGAATCAGAACGGTTTGTGTTTTAGCTGCATTGATACAAATCTTCCAGCTCTTGAAATAGTCGGACGGAACATCCAGGCCTGATTGTAGTTTACTCGCCAGAGCACGGATCACTCGACCCTTATAGGTGATGGAGGAGTCATCTGCGAACATTGACAGGATACCACCACCCGGCAGGGGAGGAAAGTCTGACGTAAAATTGTTGAATAGGATAGGTCCAAGCAGGCTACTCTGAGGTACCCCTGCATCAATGTTGAACGTATCAGAGGGGACCTGGAATGATCTGCCCGACAAGTAGTTTTTGATGATCTTCACGAGGTAGATCGGAAAGTTTTATCGATGCAGTTTGAACATTAGGCCATCATGCCAGACATTGTCAAACGCCTTCTCAACGTCCAAAAATGCCATGGCAGATGTTTTTGAAACGGACCTGTTCTGCCTGATGATGTTTGTAACTCTACTTCGTTGGTGGATCGTTGAATGATCTTTCCTAAACCCGAATTGCTTCTTGAGTAAGATGTTATTTTCGTTGGAGAGCTCCAGCAACAGGCTGAGTATCAACTTTTCGAATAAAGGAGATAAAGGACAAGAGGCAGATGGGATGATAGCTTTTTTCACTAATAGGATCTTTGTCAGGCTTGTGTATTGGAATCACTTTGGCTAACTTCTGGCATGCAGGGAAGTAGCCAAGTTACAAACATTTGTTGAAGATAACGGTACGATGGTTGAAGAAGTCAATACTTAAGTTTTTCAACTCGAGGTTGCCTACACCATCCATACCCGCAGCCTTCATATTTTCAGTGCTTCTAATAGCTGCTATTACCGCATCAGCCGATATTCTACTATCACCATGCACTACTACGGGGATGTCAGCGACTCTAGGCATTGCCTCCAGTACGGCAAGCCCATGGGAGCTCACCATGGCCTGGCCAAGATTATGTGAAATCACAAAATGTTGACCAAGAGCATTGGACTTTTCAACTGGGGTTATGAGTAGTTCGAGTCCTAGTCAACAGAGGAGAGCGGAGGGATCGGTCTCGACTTATTTTTTTTTTTAATTTTGGTCATCTTCCAAAATGGCTTTGCACAATCTGAGAGAGAGCGAATCTTGTTGTCAAAATCGTTATTTCTGAGCTTCACCATCCTGGCCTGGATAATTTTGGTTAGCCTATTGAAATTGGTATTCAAGTGGGGCAGCCCAGAACGCTGGAAGTCGTAGTCGATTGCTGTGTCCACACAGCGCTGGTACTGCTGCCAGTTGACACGATGGTGAATATTTGAAAATGTTGCAACTTTAGGGGAAGTTTTAGTACACAAAAATTATAAAATTTATTAGGCCTGTTATCTACGAATTAGATGTCACTCACCTTTCAAATCATTTATAAAGATCGAAAATCGCAATGAGCAAAAAACATTGACATGTTTTTTTTAAAGGATGACCCCAAACTTATGATCGGGAGTGTGAACGTGTGAAGGTTGTCTAGTACAGGTGTTAACTCAATATCCTTTATGTAAGGTCCGGGCCAACAGGTTTAGTTGTGTTAGTGAAATGTGCAAATGTGTAGGGGTGTTCGTATTTCTTTGCAATGTTTATATTTTTACACGAAACAGCTGTTGGCAGTGTCGTAAATCTCACTGTTCGCAGTCCGGAATGTTATGGTAGGGTGACGTTGTCACTTGAGTGTTTAGCAATGTTTACAATATTTTTACTTCTTCTTCTTCTTCTTCTTCTTCTTCTTTCCTTTATTTAACTTCGGTCTCTGTTCCGCAATCTAGTGCCAATCACCGACGGACATCGATTGCCATCCATTGACGGCAATCGAATGTGCAGGAAGGCAGCTTCCACACCTGCGTAGGATATCGCACCCATTCAAGCACAAATGGGCCGGGACCAACGGCTTTACTTCCCTTCCGAAGGAAGACGTGACTAGAGATTTTTATGCCTCAGAAAAATCCCACCGACCTCGGCTGGGATTGAACCTAGACCCATTAGGGTGAGAAAGCAGTCACGCTTACCACTACACCACCGGCGCCGGCTATTTTCATTTCTAACAACAGCTTGTTGGCTCGGACTTTATATAAACGTCATTGGTGTAAACTACACCCAAAAAATTCCACGCGTTTGATCGAAGTGTTTAAACACTTGATTTTTTATTTGCACAATCACATTTACTTTAAGTGTATTTCACCTTGATTCAATGTGTTGTACACGTTAATTTATAGTGTTTCAAACTTTGAAATGTTGAAAATCACTATCACTATCTCTTCAAGTGTATGGCACATTGAATCACACTAAAGGGTGTCCACGATGAAATTGCCACACACAAAATTGATTCGCAAAATTCGAGTTTTCATCCGATTGCCATCAAATTTTCAGGGATTGAAAAATAACTATTAAACTTCATTTTATCATTTTACTCGTATTTTATTTACAGTCCATACGCAAATGCCCGCACCTTGGCCTTAACCCCGGCCATAAGATTCTGCACAACCTGTGAATCAACCGTTTTTTGCATGTAAACCCATAATTTCTTCAGTTCCTCGACTGTCTTCACTACCTTAGGTCGTTTAAGAAGGTGCTGCTTCATAATCGCCCAGTACTTCTCGATGGGGTGGAGCTCCGGAGTGTTGGGAGGGTTGAACATTTTCGGCATGAAATTGACCTTATTGTCCACATACCACTTCAGCACGTCCTTGGAGTAGTGGCATGAGGCCAAATCCGGCCAGAAGATTGTTGGGACGTTGTGGGCCTTCAGGAGAGGAAGCAGCCGCTTCTGGAGGCACTCTTTTATGTACACCTGTCCGTTCATCGTGTCCTGGGTCACGAAAGGTGCACTCCGCTTCCCGCACGTGCAGATGGCTTGCCAAACCAGGAATTTCTTCGCAAATTTGGACATCTTCTGAGTGCGGACATGCTCTGGAACGCTGAACTTATCCTTGGCCGTGAAAAACAGGTTGCCGGGGATCTGTTTGAAGTCGGCCTTCACATATGTTTCGTCGTCCATGATGCAGCATTCAACTTTCGTCAGCATGTTGAGGTACAACTTCCTGGCACGGGTTTTGGCGGACTTGTTCTGCTTCTCGTCGTGATTAGGGACCTTTTGTACCTTGAACGTTCGAAGCCCAGCCTTAGTTTTGGCCTTCTGGACAAAACTTCGGCTTAGGTGCAGCTTCTTAGCCACATCCCTAACGGAGGCGTTCGGATTTCGGTTGAAGGCCCCAACTACGCGGTTGTGATTTTTGGTGTTGTACGGAATACTTTTTCCTTCACTTCTGGGCTTCCGATCGGTGGTCAACCGTTCCTCGAACCGCTTAATCACTCGCGACACCGTGGAATTCGCGATTCCCAACGTTTTAGCGATGGAACGATGCGAGAGATCCTTGTTCTCGTGATGAATGCGCAAGATTTTATCACGCACGAGCTGTTCTTTCGACTCCATTTCCGCGAGTTTTGATCACAGGACTTTAAAACTTGCAGGATGCACTATGAACTAAATCCACCCAAATTTTCATTAAATTCTATCCAACGGTTAAAAAGTTAGAGCAATTTCATAGTGTGGCAATTTCATCGTGGACACCCTTTACTGTTCAAAACAAATGGATTTAAAGTGTTTTGCATTTCAATGCGATGTGAATTGCTTACTCAGAAAGGTAAACATTGGAAACAAGGCTTGTCACTTTATCCTATCAACCCGCCTCATATATGAGTACAACCCTGGCACAGTGATATCGAACCAAGACTCCGGCAGCAGCATGATCGAATCCCAAATCAGACCCATCAAAAAGATGTGTGAAAGCTCTGGCCTCTGGCAGTTTTGTTTATATATTTGTCGATTCATTTTTAGAGTCGGTAAAGTAGATGTCGATAAAGTAGAATATTGTAGAATATTGAACTATGATGTCACCAAATGAGGCACATTTTTTTTAATGAAATGGATGTGTTTCACAATAAGCGCAAAATTAAGGGTGAGACACAAGATGATGACGTCTGGAATTTTTTGAGTGTAGCACTTGGTTTTTTTCTTGTGTTTTTTACGGGACTTGACAATCCAGCTTCTCACTCTTCTTAATGTTTTTTTTAAAGAATGCCCTTCGGAAAATTGTGCGTGGTGTTTGACGGATTGGACCAATGATGCCATGAATGTAAAATATTTTTTTTTTTCTATTTTAACTTGGATTTTATTCGGAGCTTTGACCGCAGTCTAGCAGCTTGTACATTAATTTTGCTTAACACAATATAAACAACCATAAACAAACAACAATATCCATCGCTTAAAACACGCAGTGCACTCAATTTTTCAACTTTCCTTTCGCAAATATAAACTAATATCGCCATTGCCGTCAACATTGATTCCAGCATCACTGCCAGCTAGACTGATGCAATCCCTCTGTCCTTTTTATTCCACGATTACTACTGTCAAATCGACTAATTAGAAACTGGCTCGGATTTGACAGCAAATTGACTCGAAATTGCTACCTGATTGTCAAGTCCCGTCCCAGCTAAACACCGGCGTGAATAAATATT